ATAATAGAATATTCACTCAAGCAAGCCTCAACCATATATTACTAGAGAATGGAAAAGAAACAACCAAAATATTTGATAAACTCAACAGATAGATCCCAGCAATTCAGGAGCTCGAGGCCTCCACAATGACATTATTGATTTGATCCCTTCACCAAAATAAACCCTTTATTATACTACCTTCATGACTACCTATTCCACTAACAACTTTTTCCCTTCTCATACGTGGCTGTAAATATTCTTAAAACCTACATCAAGGCACCTCACACTCTTAACCCTTTCGTCCCTATTGTCCCTTATGCCTTGTATTGGTAAACATGCTTAATGGGAGGTCTATCAATACCAAACCACCCCCCAAAAAGGGGAATTGCTGCTAGATCACATCGTAAGCCCCCATGATGCTTCAAAAGGAGCTAAATCTTTCCATTTGATAAGTACTTCTCGAGAGCCATTTAATAAAGTGCGGACACCAATAACGATTCTGGTTGAACAAGGAGTTCCATATCTCGGTGAGGCAGGTGGCAGGGGTTGGAGGGTCGAAGGGTGTAAACTTCTTTCGTTGAGAGATGTGAAAGACGGGATGAATTCTGGCCGTAGGAGGCAGCTCCAAATGTAAGCCCCCTCCCAATCTTCCCTAGTATGGGGAAAGGACCATAAAACTGGGGGCTGAGTTTTTCATTTAGTTTTTTGGCCAAGGACTTAAATAGTAGATTGGAGCTTCAAATATACCTGGTCCCTGGTTGAAAACTAATATCCCGAGACGGAGGTCAGTAGTTTCCTTCATTTGTGTGAGCTACAGACAAGGTATGCTTAAGTTCAGCCAATATGGAATTTTGGGCAGCCATTTGTGGTTGACTTCTTCCACCGAGGAGGGTAATCTGAAAACTTGAGGAGAATGCGTGGATCCCTGCGTAGAGGGCTTTAAAAGGGGTCATTTTAATGGAGCTGTGATGTGTGGTATTGTACCAATATTCTTCCCAGGACAGCCACTTATCCCACTATTTTGGCTGCGAACTACAAAAACACGCAAGTAAGTTTCTAAATACGGTTGACCACCTTCGTTTGGCCATCGGTTTGGGGGTGATATGTTGAACTGAACTTCAACGAAGTGCCAACGCCTTGAAAAGTTCCTGCTAGAAGTTGCTGATAAAAATCTTATCGCGGTCTGAAACAATAGACTTGGGAAAGTCGTGGAGGCTATAATACCAAAGACAAAAATGGTTGCAACATCCTTAGTGTGTAGGGGTGACCAGGGAATAAAGTGGCCGTATTTAGTGAGTCGGTCCAAACAACCATTATGGTATCCTGTCCTTTTGCTTTTGGTAATCCTCCAATGAAGTCTATGCTAATATTTAAAAACCTGGGATGGAATGGGTAAGGGCTAAAGAAGACCTGCTGGTTGAGAGCAAAATATTTATGTGATTGGCAAATGGAACACACGTAGGACATACTCTGCACATCCCTCTAATACCTCCCAAACTAATATATTCATCAGCTTATATGTTTGAAAAAGCCTAAATGCCCCTTGAGCGCTGTGAAACTCATCTAAAAGGTAGGAATGAACTTCAATTTCGGCAAAACAACCTATTTTGTGAGATGAGACAGCCACGAGCGAAAACCATACAAAGGATGACTGGTAGGGTAAAAAAGAAGGTCTTGGATGATTGCTTGTAGCTTTGGGTCTTGCTGTGCTTCAGCCGCTAACTCATCCCATTCGAAAATTGTATATCGAAATGGGTACTAATTCAGCACCCTCTCCGCGTTCGACAAGGCATTAGCCACTTGATTTGAGTTTCCGGTTGGTAGTGGATTTCGAAGGAGAATCCTAAGAGCTTGAAAATCCATTTCTGTTTTCGGGTGTTTTAACACACTGATCCGTCAGAAACTATAAACTGCGCTGGTAAGATTTAATGATAAATTTGCGTCCACTTAGGTAATGGCTCCATTTGGGAAGCGAACACAATGGCCATCAGCTCTCTCTCGTATGCTGATTTCTGTTGGGCTTGGTGGGAAAAGGCTTGGTAATGAATGCAATGGGTCGCTGATTCTGGACCAGGACAGCTCAATTCCCTAACTGATGCATTGTGTGTACCTCAAACGGAAGAGTGAAATCCAAAACTGCCAGCACCGGAAATAAGTCATTGCCCTTTTAAGAGTTTCAAAGGCCTGTTGTGCTTGGTCATCTCATGCAAAAGAGTCATTTCGCAAGCTGTGTTAACGGCTGCGCGGATTAAACCATAATTCTGCACAAAACGGCGATAGTACCCAGTCAAACCCAAAAACCCCCATAATCCTTTGATTGTGCATGGGACGGGCCAATTTAACATTGAATCCATCTTCTGGATCAGCTTCTACCCCTTTCTAAAATTAAATGACCCAAATACTCCAATCTCTGACGGCCAATATACACATTCTTGTAATTGATTACCAATTCATGCGGGTGAGGATCTGAAAAGCAGTCTCATGTGGCTCAGGTGAGTCTTCAAATCAGGACTGTAAATAAGGATGTCGTAAAAAAAACAAGTATGAAATTCCGCAAGACTGGTTTAAATATGGTTTCCAAAGCTTGGAAAGTTGAAGGGGCATTGGTTAATCCGAAGGGCATGACTAGGAATTCATAATGCCCTTCGTGTGTCTGAAAGCTGTTTTGGGAACATCCCTCTTTCATCCTAATTGGTGGTAGCCGGATTGAGGTCCAATTTTGTGAAAATGGCTGGCCTTGATAGTTCATCCAACAGTTCGTCAATGGAGGGAATTGGAAACTTGTCGGGTATAGTGATGTTATTTAGGGCCCTATAGTCCACACAAAAATGTCAGCTTTCCTCTTTTTTCTTAATAACAATACAGGACTAGCAAAGGGACTAGTGTTAGGTTGTATTATCCTGCCACACGCATCTCACCCACCAACTTTTCGATTTCATTTTTTTGGGAGTAGAAGTATTTGTATGGGGAATGTTAGGAGGTTTGGCATTGGCTGCTAAGATATGGCATGATTAGTGGGTCTCTTGGGTGGAAGTGGAGTAGGCTTTCAAACAGTGGCTAAACCTATTTACAATTACTGCTACTTAGATCCATAGGTTCCTCTTGTTCTCTTCTGACCCCATGGAACAAAAACTCAATCACTATCCCGCATCCTGCTGTGTGGGATTTCATCATTGCTTTTAAGGACACAATCGTGTTGACTAATGATGGATCCCTTGTAAAAACCACTATTTCCTTCACTAATAAAGGTCATTGTCAGATTCCTCCAGTTTGCACACATATCACAACGTACTGAGCCAAGAAACCCCTAATACACATCTGCCCCTCCTAACTCAAATGGAAAATAGTCCTGGCACAATTCAATCCCCTATATCCTCAATTTACTCCCCTACAGATTCCCTCCCCTCTGAAGTAAACCTATTTCCCACCTCACTCCAAAACGCTTTTCCCTTTTCCACTGCTAAACCTAATTTTCGCACCAAGTCATGTGAAATGAAATTGTGGGAAGCCCCACTGTCCACCAGCACAACACCTCTGTACTTCCAATCAACCCTTTCAACTTTAAGGTTTTACGGTGGTTACCCCAATGATTGAGTGCATAGACAGGGCCAAAATTACCTTTGTCGTCGTTTTCTGGGTAAGGTCAGGTGTATTTCGTCGTTTCGACACTTCTCTTGGTGACCAGCAAGATCTGGATTGATTTGCTCCTTAGTATGGTTGGGTCGTATTTCCATCACATAGAAATAAAGGCCCTTTTCTTTTGCTACAGCTCAGCGTGGACATTCGCGGAAGTATCCCGCGAAAGTTCTGCATCGTTGGATTCCATAGTATACCCTTATTTAATGTAGTACCCTTTTTAGTCATTTTATAATAAAATGTACTTATAAGCCACATTTTACCAAACATGTCAACTACTTATCAGTAACTTATAAGTACTTTAACCAAACACGTAATTGCTTAAAATTTCAAATGCTTATAAGCTAAAATTTGCTTATTAGCACTTGTTGTTTGTAAGCTAATTTTCATAAGCTCAGACAAACACCCCCTAAGTATTTGAAATCCTAAGTATTTGAAATTTTAAGTAATTACGAATTTGGTTAAAATACTTATAAGTGACTGATAAGTAGTTAACGTATTTGGTAAAATGTGGCTTATAAGTACATTTAATTATAAAATGACTAAAAATGGTATTACATTAAACAAGGGTATACTATGGATTTTAAAATTAAACAAGAATAATGTGGTAATATATTTGGTCAAACTAGCTTATAAGCAGAGTGTTTATAAGCAAAAAAAAAAAAAAAAGAAGTACCTCCCCCAAAACTTATTTTTTTTTTGGTTTATAAGCTCAAAAAAATTATAAACAAACAGGTCAGCTTAATTTTGAAGCTTATAAGCTAGTTTGACCAACTTATAAGCTTAGACAAACACCCCCTTATTATTATTATTTTTTGCTTATAAGCACTCTGCTTATAAGCTAGTTTGACCAAACATATTACCATATTATCCTTGTTTAATTTTAAAATTCTATAGTATACCCATGTTTAATGTAGTACTCTTTTTAGTTATTTTATAATAAAATGTACTTATAAGCCACGTTTTACCAAACACGTCAACTACTTATCAGTCACTTATAAGTACTTTAACCAAACACGTAATTGCTTAAAATTTTAAAAGCAGTTATTGCTTATAAGCTAATTTTCATAGGCTTAGACAAACATCGCCATACTAATCTTTAATTATCTCTCCCTCCCTTTTTCTTCTTCCACTCAAATTTTTTAAATATTATTGCTTGTGTACTTATGTCTCCAATTATAAGTTACGTAGATTGATATGTTAAGTAATTTCATTAATTATTAATTGTTTCAGATAGTAGTGATTTGGTGATCTAGCTAGCGTGGGTAACAATTGTTAATTCTTTCCTTTTTTTTAATTTTTCTTTTTATTTTAATGAAAAGGGAAATCTATGTGTTTTTTGGCCTGGAGAGAAAATGCTATGAAGAGCAAAATATGAATCAGCCATGAAGCTTGCCAAGTGTCTTATTGAAATGGATACCTCATGGGAGTCAACTGGTCCCGTCCGGTACAACATCAGGCCTAAGATACACAGATATGGGGCCAGTCCTACAGTCTTAGCCATTGAGAAAGAAATCATGAACCAAGGAAAGGGAGAAAGAAACGATGCAGAAATTCCTTTGTTTCTAGCAGTTAAGGCAGGATGTAGAGAGAGAGTTGAAGAAATATTCAAAACATACCCTCAAGCAGTTGGTCATATTGATGATTCAGGACGAACTATTATACATGTAGCAATCAAGTATCGCCAGCAAAAGATTTTTGAGTTTGTAGTTAAGGAAATGGAAGCATTCATGCCCTTTCTGGTAAGAAAGATGGACAACGATGGAAACACCATCTTGCATATGGTTGGAATTAAAAAACCAGATTACGCCCCTGAAAAGATGGAAGGACCGGCGCTGCTATTGCAAGAGGAATTACTTTGATTCGAGGTGCGTTTTAATTAGTACCCAAATATATACCTTCCATAACTTACGAGTAAATACTAATGAATTTTGTTGGTTGTGTTCGCAGCAAGTTAAGAATGTGATAATCAGCATACCCCAATTCCTAGATCACCAGAATAATATGGGGTTGACCGCAGAAGCGCTATTTGCTGCTACAAATAAGGACCTTCGTATTTCGTCCAAAGAATGGTTAAAGCGCACGGCGGAAGGATGCTCAATAGTGGCAGTTCTCATTGCTACCGTTGCCTTTGCTGCTGCATATACAATACCAGGAGGTCCTAATCAGAATACTGGTTTTCCTGTCCTCATGAATCATCCTTTTTTTACGGTTTTTACCATATCTGACATTCTCTCTCTCACATTCTCTTTGGCTTCTGTGGTTACTTTTCTCTCTATCCTCACTTCACCGTTCAGATTACAAGACTTTAAGCACTCTCTTCCTAATAAAATGACGCTAGGCTTCACCTTCCTGTTTCTTTCTGTGTCCATGATGATGATTGCATTTGGAGCAACAGTGCTACTCATGATAAAAAAGAAGGAAAGTTGGGAACGAGTTATGCTATACTCTTTCTCCTTTATTCCGGTGGGAGTATTTGGATTATCATATTTCCCTCTCTATATAAGAAAATCAACATCAAGAGCTTTGGAATACTTAACCAGGAAGACTAAGCAGTTAATTCCTGAGTGTTTTCTAGTTCTACTTACGAAGCTCTATGCTTTTTTCTGTACCTGTGCTTGTACAACTCCATCAGCTAGTCATTCCATCCCTTGAGCTGACCGCCACTTCAATAATTTTACAGACTAGTATGATAATTAATTTTTTCTTTTATCAATTACGATGCCCTAATATTAATTAATTGTAGAAACAGAAATTTATGTGTTAATGCATCATTAATTAAGTAATTGATGAATATGAAATACAAAAATATGAGAATGTTTAGTTACTTTAGTATGTAATTTGTAATTAGTAAATAAGTTTTTGAATCACAATTCACCTTGAATATTGTTTGATTCTATCGTACAAATATGAGTTAACAACCTATTTCTACCAAATAATGGTTTAATGACACTTTCCTATCCATTAGGGGTGGGAGAAATAATCCGGAAACTGAACTGAGCTGAACCGAACCGAAAACCGGTCCAAAACAGAACCGAAAATTAGGATTTTTTGTAAACTGGTTCGGTTTGTAAAAATTTAAAAATTGGAAAACCAGTTTGGTTTTCTGTTTAGGAGATTTTCCAAACCGGTTAACCGAAACCGATTTTTAAAACCGGTTTCACCCTATGTATATAAATAAAATATGTTTTAATTTTTTTTCCCTTTTTTTTCAATATCTCTTATTCTCTTCTCCGCCTCCACTCCACTCTTTAGGGCCCATCTTCATTTTTCAATATCTCTTATTCTCTTCTCTGCCTCCACTCCACTTTCCAGACTCCATCTTTGCCAGCGCCACCCACACCCACCACCAAATTGAAACTCCAAACCCATCCATCTGTAATATCGCCAATGCCATTTCGCCGACACACCTCCAGTGACTAGCACATACTACCCACTCACCCAGCGATGACCACAACTACTGCACTACAGTTCCTTGAAACAGGAATAGCAATGACAGTCAACCACAGCTCCAGTTTTCACCGTTCAGATCTTCAATCCTCAACTGCTCACCTGCTCCACAATCAATACTCCACCGCCGATTCAACAACCTAATGCATCTTCTAATTCAACAAGAGATCTGATGAATATTTTGATGGATGCTTCTAATTTTTAGAGGCTTTGATAAGACTCCCTGCATTGATAAGCACAAACAGTCTAAGATAATAGAATATATTCACTCAAGCAAGCCTCAACCAATTATATTACTAGAGAATGGAAAAGAAACAACCAAAATATTTGATAAACTCAACAGATAGATCCCAGCAATTCGAGGAGCTCGAGGCCTCCCACAATGACATTATTTGATCTGTATCCCTTCACCAAAATAAACCCTTTATTTATACTACCTTCATGACTACCTATTCCACTAACAACTTTGATTCCCTTCTCATACGTGGCTGTAACTACTTCTCTAACAACCTACATCAAGGCACCTCACACTCTTAACCCCTTTCTGTCCCTATTGTCCCTTATGCCCTTTGTATTGGTAAACATGCTTAATGGGAGGTCTATCAATACCAAACCACCCCCCCCAAAAGAGGGAATTGCTGCTAGATCACATCGTAAGCCTCCCATGATGCTTCAAAAGGAGCTAAATCTTTCCATTTGATAAGTACTTCTCGAGAGCCATTTAATAAAGTGCGGACAACCAATAACGATTCTGGTTGAACAAGGAGTTCCATATCCTTGGTGAGGCAAGGTGGCAGGGGTTGGATGGGTACCGAAGGGTGTAAACTTCGTTTCGGTTGAGAGATGTGAAAGACGGGATGAATTCTGGCCGTAGGAGGCAGCTCCAACTTGTAAGCCCCCTGCCCAATCTTCCCTAGTATGGGGAAAGGACCATAAAACTGGGGGCTGAGTTTTTCATTTAGTTTTTTGGCCAAGGACTTAAAATAGTATGATTGGAGCTTCAAATATACCTGGTCCCCTGGTTGAAAACTAATATCCCGACGACGGAGGTCAGTAGTTTCCTTCATTTGTGCTTGAGCTACAGACAAGTTATGCTTAAGTTCAGCCAATATGGAATTTTGGGCAGCCATTTGCTGGTTGACTTCTACCACCGAGGAGGGGTAATCTGAAAACTTGAGGAGAATGCGTGGATCCCTGTCGTAGAGGGCTTTAAAAGGGGTCATTTTAATGGAGCTGTGATGTGTGGTATTGTACCAATATTCTTCCCAGGACAGCCACTTATCCCACTATTTTGGCTGCGAACTACAAAAACATCGCAAGTAAGTTTCTAAATATCGGTTGACCACCTTCGTTTGGCCATTGGTTTGGGGGTGATATGTTGAACTGAACTTCAACAAAGTGCCAACAGCCTTGAAAAGTTCCTGCCAGAAGTTGCTGATAAAAATCTTATCGCGGTCTGAAACAATAGACTTGGGAAAGCCGTGGAGCCATATAATACCAAAGACAAAAATGGTTGCAACATCCTTAGTGTTGTAGGGGTGACACAGCGGAATAAAGTGGCCGTATTTAGTGAGTCGGTCCACAACAACCATTATGGTATCCTGTCCTTTTGCTTTTGGTAATCCTCCAATGAAGTCTATGCTAATATATTCAAAAACCTGGGATGGAATGGGTAAGGGCTAAAGAAGACCTGCTGGTTTGAGAGCAGAATATTTATGTGATTGGCAAATGGAACACCGTAGGACATACTCCTGCACATCCCTCTTAATACCGTCCCAAACTAATATATTCATCAGCTTCTTATATGTTTTGAAAAAGCCTAAATAGCCCCCTTCTGAGCTGCTGTGAAACTCATCTAAAAGTTTAGGAATGAACTTCGAATTTCTGGGCAAAACTAACCTATTTTTGTAGATGAGACAGCCACGGCGAAAACCATACAAAGGATGACTGGTAGGGTAAAAAAGAAGGTCTTGGATGATTGCTTGTAGCTTTGGGTCTTGCTGTGCTTCAGCCGCTAACTCATCCCATTCAAAAATTGTATTATCGAAATGGCTACTAATTCAGCACCCTCTCCGCGTCTCGACAAGGCATTAGCCACTTGATTTGAGTTTCCCGGTTGGTAGTGGATTTCGAAGGAGAATCCTAAGAGCTTGAAAATCCATCTGTTATTCGGGTGTTTTAACACACTGATCCGTCAGAAACTATAGACTGCGCTGGTAAGATTTAATGATAAATTTGCGTCCACTTAGGTAATGGCTCCATTTGTGGATAGCGAACACAATGGCCATCAGCTCTCTCTCGTATGCTGATTTCTGTTGGGCTTGGTGGGAAAAGGCTTGGCTAATGAATGCAATGGGTCGCTGATTCTGGACCAGGACAGCTCCAATTCCCTAACCTGATGCATCTGTGTGTACCTCAAACGGAAGAGTGAAATCCAAAACTGCCAGCACCGAAACTAAAGTCATTGCCCTTTTAAGAGTTTCAAAGGCCTGTTGTGCTTGGTCATCCCATGCAAAAGAGTCATTTCGCAGTAGCTGTGTTAACGGCTGCGCGATTAAACCATAATTCTGCACAAAACGGCGATAGTACCCAGTCAAACCCAAAAACCCCCATAATCCTTTGATTGTGCATGGGACGGGCCAATTTAACATTGAATCAATCTTCTGTGGATCAGCTTCTACCCCTTTCACTAAAATTAAATGACCCAAATACTCCAATCTCTGACGGCCAAATATACACTTCTTGTAATTGATTACCAATTCATGCTGGGTGAGGATCTGAAAAGCATGTCTCATGTGGCTCAGGTGAGTCTTCAAATCAGGACTGTAAATAAGGATGTCGTAAAAAAACACAAGTATGAATTTCCGCAAGACTGGTTTAAATATGGTATTCATCAAAGCTTGGAAAGTTGAAGGGGCATTGGTTAATCCGAAGGGCATGACTAGGAATTCATAATGCCCTTCGTGTGTCCTGAAAGCTGTTTTGGGAACATCCTCCTCTTTCATCCTAATTTGGTGGTAGCCGGATTTGAGGTCCAATTTTGTGAAAATGGCTGCCCTTGATAGTTCATCCAACAGTTCGTCAATGGAGGGAATTGGAAACTTGTCGGGTATAGTGATGTTATTTAGGGCCCTATAGTCCACACAAAAATGTCAGCTTTCCTCTTTTTTCTTAACTAACAATACAGGACTAGCAAAGGGACTAGTGTTAGGTTGTATTATCCCTGCCACCAGCATCTCACCCACCAACTTTTCGATTTCATTTTTTTGGGAGTAGAAGTATTTGTATGGGTGAATGTTAGGAGGTTTGGCATTGGCTGCTAAGACTATGGCATGATTAGTGGGTTTCTTGGGTGGAAGTGGAGTAGGCTATTCAAACAGATGGCTAAACCTATTTACAATTACTGCTACTGTAAGATCCATAGGTTCCTCTGCTTCTTCTTTCTTGACCCCAATGGAACAAAACTCAATCACATATCCCGCATCCTGCTGTTGTAGGGATTTCATCATTGCTTTTAAGGACACAATCGTGTTGACTAATGATGGATCCCCTTGTAAAACCACCTTATTTCCTTCACTAATAAAGGCCATTGTCAGATTCCTCCAGTTTGCACACATATCACCTAACGTACTGAGCCAAGAAACCCCTAATACAACATCTGCCCCTCCTAACTCAAATGGAAAATAGTCCTGGCACAATTCAATCCCCTATATCCTCAATTTTACTCCCCTACAGATTCCCTCCCCTCTGATAGTAAACCTATTTCCCACCATCACTCCAAACGCTTTTCCCTTTTCCACTGCTAAACCTAATTTTCGCACCAAGTCATGTGAAATGAAATTGTGGGAAGCCCCACTGTCCACTAGCACAATCACCTCTGTACTTCCAATCAACCCTTTCAACTTTAAGGTTTTAACGGTGGTTACCCCAATGATTGAGTGCATAGACAGGGCCAAAGGATTACCTTTGTCGTCGTTTTCTGAGGTAAGGTCAGGTGTAGTTTCGTCGTTTTCGATCACTTCGTCGTTGGTGACCAGCAAGATCTGGATTGATTTGCTCCTATAGTAATGGTTGGGTCCGTATTTCTCATCACAGTAGAAATAAAGGCCCTTTTCTCATTTTTGCTACAGCTCAGCGTTGGACATTCGCCGGAAAGTATCCCCGCGAAAGTTCTGCATCGTTGAATCGATTTGTGTCGTGAAATC